GCAAAATAGCAATGCAAATCATCGAATAAATTAATTTATCAGTTTTTTTTGTTTAATTGTAACTTCTTTGAAGTATCTAATTTCATTTGTTCTATACGTTTTCTATTAACGAACAAACGAGATTCTTTCGTGAACTGAAAAATATGTACACATGGAAATTAATGAGAAAGAGATAGCTGTTATATCTAGAAATGGCATGATGTAAATTTTTGTTATACTGATAGAAAAATGAGAAATCTCACAAAGCTGAATGATAGTAGGTTGTGATTACGCGAGAGTTTATCGAACTCGAAAAATAAATGCCAGTATGAGATGAGTATGATATTCATTATTGAAACATTCATAAGAGCTAAACTACTTATTACATAAAACTGAGAAATCCTTATTTTCTACTATCCGATCCAAAATAAAAGATAGATTACCATTTTTCGAATAACTTTTGATAGGAACAAGATAGAGAGCTGCGGTTTTCACAATTCTAACTTTTACAGCTCGTATCAAAGTTTTCAGACAGTTTGAAAACTCCAATTTATCGAATCTTGTATATTTCTATAACTGAAAGCAAATCAAATCATAACTACAACATAAAAACAAGTTGAACGCAATAAAAGATCGTCTCCAAACTGTTGGCTTGGAAAATAAATTAGAAGTCCAGTGGACTACTGTCCTGTGGAAGTGCGTTTAGGTTATACACTGTGTTGATGGAAAAATGAATCACTAGGAAAAGTATGAAGAGTAGGGTAACCGGCTGCCGAGAAAATTTTAGCAGGATACCCAACAAAAAGTCTCCTGCTATCAATATATCTCAAGTAATTGACTGAATACACTACTGAAAATTGCCTCGGATAATGGGCATTTGAAGGTGTTTGTAAGTAGAGTCCATCGGTATGGTGCGGAACCGAAAATTTTGAATCCGACAAGCTCTATTCGTAAGAGATTTGTTTGGGGACTCTGTAAGTATTCGACGCGTGTTCTACTGACAATGTTTTCTCAAGTAAGTCAATTGAGTAGTTAAATGTATTTGATTTTCAAATAAATAATCCTAAAAAAAATTTGACTATTCAAGAGAAGTTCGATCTATGTTTTATAAAACCTACCGTGCAGAACATTTGAAATTTTCTTCACTTAACTTTAAACTCTTAAATAAATTGTATTTTTTTTTAAACAGATAATAGTGAAATAACAAATGACGATACAATAGTGATTAGTCGTGATGCATTATCTGCCTTAATGATAAATAATGATACATATACACCACGTACTGTTGTTTTACAACGAGGAAAAAAAGGTTTTGGTTTTGTTCTTCGAGGTTCACGAAGTAATTAATTATTTATCTTCATCAATAAAATATTTTTTTATTTTTGTTTATTAAATATATATAGTTGCAGGAAAATTATTTCAACCAACACCATCATTTCCTGCTCTTCAATTTCTCGATAGTATTGAAAAAGGTAGTAATGCTGATAAAGCAGGTCTTAAACAAAATGATTATGTTCTTGAAGTAAGTTAAAAAAAGATATATATATATATTCATATATTTAAATAACACATAGATCAATGGTATTAATGTAACTTCTATGCCACATGAAGAATGTGTTAATATAATAAAACGAGCTGGAGATACTTTAGCATTAAAAATTGTAACAGCAAATATATCATCAATGGTCCATTCTAATCATGATTCACAATCACATTATACTACTTTTCAATCATTACCTTATCGACGTAAAGGTAAATTTCGGTTTTTTTTTCTATTATTTTACGAATCGAAAAAAAAAACAATTTCTTTCAGCACCTCTTCATCCCAGTTTTGAAAAACCATTTGGTGGTATGTTGATATTCTTTTATTTGGCACGAACTTCTTTTTTTTCTGACTATGACTTCCTCACTTGCTTTAGCATTTTCATTATCAAAAAAGTCGCTTCTACCTTTTCAATCATTGTTTATGAAGACAATAGAACATAATACCGTTTTAGGTATTTACACAAATAAAATAATAATAATAATAATATATAATAACCTAACTGCATGAAATTTTTACTAGAACAAGAAATAAATTAACATATTTTATTTGATTTTGTTTTTTTTTTATTTCTTTTATAGAAGATCTTGATCGAACATTAGCAGAATATGAATATGGTAGTATGTCTGAAGCATATCTATCTATATCAAAACCACAAATTGAAAATATTCATAATGGATCTGCATCTCTTCGTATTAAGTAATAAAATTTTATATTTATAATTAAATAATATTTTAGGGTTGACCAAAAGTTCTGATTTCGATCTTTAAAATAGTTAATATCGAAAGTTTTATTGCATCAATACATAGTAGAATGCCTTGTCTACAATAATGTACAGAATGAACCAAAAATAACAGGACAAATAATTTTTTCTTTGTACATATTCAGTTCAATCTCATATCTTTACCACATATACTATGTGATATAATCAAAAGATGTAGAATATGATACGTATCTAGGTGTAGTAATTTGTTCAAAAGCGTACAAATACAGGACGATTAAAAGTAAGGAAACAAGTCTGAATTCTAACAAAACGTTTATTAAAACAATAGAACTAGGAAAGACATACAATAATACGTATGAGTAAGCTTTTTCACAAAAATTGCTCGATATATTCACCCTCTTACAGAGATATCCATGGTGGCGCGGGAGATATTTAAAAAATATCATTGCGGGCGCGGTGACAGGTTCTTTTTAGAAGACATTGCAAAACTTCGTAGATTCGCACAGAATTCAGGTGTCCATAAGTGTAACATTCAGACACTAGATGAATCTCATGGATTCATACCAACAGTTCTAGTTCAGTACAGCGATGGCAACGATTTTCGAAAACCATCGCGACAGCGCTGTGGTAATTTTCTCTCTCTCTCCTAGGACTGCGACAGATTCTCAGTCGCGATGGACATCTATGCCTTCTAAGTCTTTGCAAAGTTGCAATCGTTCAGGTACTGATTCACAGACTCGTCAACATATTTTCACTGGCATGCTTCGTCTTATTTATACGTTTTTGGACAATTTCCTATATCTAGATGGTATATCATATGCTGCAACTTCGAATTATATCATCTAGTATATGTGGTAAAAATATGAGATCTAACTGAATATATATATATAGGAAAAAATCCAAAAAAATTATTTGTTCTGTTACTTGTGGTTTACCCCGTATATAACAACTCTATCTTGAATTTAATTTTAACAATCTTTTAGATAAAGTCTATAATACTTAGAGTTGAGAAAAAGTTCTGATAACATCAAATAAAATAAATGCGGAAACCTCGGATTTAAATCCGAGAGTTATGTGTACTTCAAAAAGTGAGTGAGACAGAGGAGTCATTCTAGAGTGTGTGGACATCAACAGTGTCCTGGCAAACCTTTTCTATAAACACTTGATTTCTATTGGCTACTGCTCAACCAATAGGATTTGTAGGCAGATACAGCTCAGATTTGAACTCTTCACCTTGATTTACCCTAAGAAACTCGTTTTTCCTATAACTTGATTTCTATTGGTCACTGCTCAACCAATGGAATTTCGAGACGAATGGAACACAGATTCGAGTTCTCCATCCCAGAAAACCTTGAACTATCATCTCTGTGATCGGAAGATAGAGTTCTATTTATAGATCAATTAGAGCGTGGACAAACACAGAACCGAATTCCGTTTAATTATCTATGCAATAGGTGAGTTAACTTTCTTGTTTCCTTATGTTTTATATACCATTTTGTAGCTCGTGAAATTCTCTATTGAATGGTATAGAATAGTTGGGGTTTTATTTTGAGTATGATAGGAAAAGTTTTTTACGAAAGCGGGGATGGGTCGATTTTCGCATAGGCAGCCATAGGAAAAAATGAGTCTTTTTGCAATAACTCAGGAATGGTTCAGCCAATTCTTCTCATCTTCTTCTCTCGACCGAGACATTGTTAAGACTGAACTGTGTAGAAAATTTCATCGCGATTGGACTCTCCTTTCAAAAGTTATCGTGTTAACGGACGGACAGACATACTGACCGATTCTAGAGTGTACTCACTTTTTGAGTACACAAAAAGTAAAAAACAAAGAGATATTTTTAGTTTTATTTTATTAAATATTCAAGATAGTCATCATTATTATTTATACAAAGCTCCATCCTGTCTAACAATCTGTCGAAAGTTTTTTTTTTCAATATTCTTTACTATCTTCGATACCTCCTGAGCTAGTGATTCTTCGTTTACTTGATCAGTCTAATTGTTGTTGATATAATCATTTAGCCAAAAGTGACATGGTGCAAGATATAGTGGATGTGTCATTATTTCAATATCTTGTTTTGTTACTTATGTACATTATTATAGACGCGGCATTCTTCTATGAAAACTTTCAATATTAACTATTTTATAAAATTTTAAACACCAGAATTAGAACCTTTAGTTAACCCTAAGTATTTTTTTCTAATGATAAATTTTCTTTTATTAAAGAAATAAACCAATTGTACCTGAACGTGATTCGTCACTTTATGATTTTTTTACTAATAATCAAAATCAACAAGTTTATAATAGATTTCAATCACTTATACCAGCAATAAGTGTACCAAATTTATCATCAATAACAAATAATCGATGTAATTCAAATTCATCATCAAATGAAGCTGATGAAGAATTATCTTTATCATCAATGAACAGTAATCAAGTTGTACCAACAACAACAAATTTAATTGAAGAGAATGGAATTGGAATTTATATGACACCATCATTATCTCTTAGTACAACGAATATGTCAACTTTTAAAACAATACCAATTAATCATTTACCTTCGAAACCAAGTGAAGTTAAAAGACGATCAAATAATCGAAAACAAATTTCTACAACACTTAATTTAAGTAATAATACTTTACCAAAAACAATTGAGAATGAAACTTCTGTTCCACCACCGCCACCTCCATTTCCGACAAATTTTGATTCAATAAATAAAATTGAACATCAAAATTCTTCAACAATAGAATCAAAACAAATCAAAGTTGAATCGATCGTAACAACAACGAAAAATGATTTTCAAATGCAAATTGAAAAAGCAAAAAGTCGTTTGAAAAAGATAAATATCGAAACATCATCAAAATCAATTCTATCGTCAACAAAATCAAATGGACTGAGCAAAACAATACATCAAAATAATTTCAGTAATTATCTTCATTCAGTTCACACGAATTTTTGATAATCGATAGACAAACTTCATAGGAAAATTCGAATAGAACTTATCATATATTCCTTATCTCTGATAATTTCCTATCAAAATCGAGTTTTCTTTTTTCATAGAAACATAAGCTTCTTGTACTGTAAACTAAGATTCATAAAACAAAAGATCATTTGCAATGAAAAATCTCTCAGGAAGAGCTTTACTGTAAACTGTTGCGAAAAAAAAACATTTTTTTTTAAATTGACAAATGGTACTTTATTCGATGCAATTTTTCATGCTGATACTAAATATATCTTTATTTTTCTCTCAAAGTGCTTCTAATGAAATCCAAAAAAAAAAGTCAGAGTTTTTCAAAAAACGTGTCTCTCAATTCAGCAGCATTTTTCGAATCGTTACGCTAACTGAGTGTATACGACTACGTTTTTCCAATGGATTTAGCCACTGGGGACAAAATTTTCTTTATATCAAAAAACTTGTTTTTAATCAAAATGTATAGGTTACTATTCAATTCTCGAAAAAAAGCTCACTTTCATTTTTTTCACCTAATGTTCATGTTGTTGTCCACTATGAAATGTTCATTTACTATGGAAATTTCACTTTAAAAAGCTGTATTATCAATTCACTGCTAAACATATTTCAATAGTTCGCATGAAACCTTTTTTGTTGACTTTCATTGTAGCTAATCCGAATAATTATCGTCCACCGAGTTTATATAACCCACCTGATTTAAAAAGCATTATAATCGAAGATAAAACTCCTTCAAACGGATTTCCTCCACCACCATCACCCAGTACTCTTCGTCGTTCATCAACAACAGCATCTATACAAAAAACATCAACAATCGATCCTCGATTAGATATTAATTTTTCTTCTGTAATTGCTCAACGTGCAGCAGCATCAAAAGTTCGTCGTCATGAAAATCCTGTAGGACTTGAATATAATTCGAATGGATTACCACCATCAACAACATTTTATAATAATTGTATTACAACAAATGGAATTCAAACAAATAGTAAGTTATATTATTGAAATAATAGAGTAGATTAAATCATTTTTTCAGTTATTCATCATCATCGTTATTGAACATCATTCAAGTTTTATTCTGTAAGAGATTCGTGTGTATATCATGGGGTTTATTTAATTCTTTTCGAGATTGTTTGTACATCATATATATATATATATATAAATTGCATGAATTGATCAATGTCAGAAGAAAAAAACAATCGATTTTTTTATGCATGGATGTATATGTGTTTTAGTTATTGTCGTTATGTATTTCTCTTTAAATATAAAATTGTCGTAGTAGAAATATTTTTCTTAGGATAATTCATAAAGTTTTCGAGGAAAAAATGAATTTGAATAACATGAACTAATGAATAGAAAAAGTTAAGTTTAATAATCGATTGTTTATAAAACTTGTCTTTTTTTTCTTGCTAAAGTAGATCCAAGAAGGAAACAGCAAACTTCAAGAGATTTCAAAGACTTCGTAGGCCATTATGCCTGAGTAGCTACGTTGTTTGACACACGTATCTAGTAGATACTGTCTTCAAACTTCGGTATCACTAACCATGAAATGATCCTGAACCAGTTACTAACGGCAATTTGTTTCATTTCGCTCATCCGGTAGCATGCTGACTACGTTATATTACACACCTCTTCTTAGGGCTAGTATGTGGTTATGTATGGGGAGCTCAAGCTAATAAGTACAAGAACTCTGGATCAGATTAACCTTCTACTAGAATTGCAGCTAGCGTTAGTTGTAGGGAAGACATCGGACTAATATTTCTGTTGCATAGATGTCCATCGCGGCGATAACCAAGAAAAGCTACCGCAACACGACGTCATCATCATGACGACAGCGGCAGTGTCGCCATGGACATCTTTGCTCTGTCGCTAGACGGTATCCTATAACACAAAGTAGTAGAAAGGCAGGAATATTCTTCCTTCCTTTTTTCGTGAGATTTTAACATGTATTAAAAGCTATAGATCAAAGACTTCGTAGGGTTTCGAAACACTTCAAGACTGAAGTTTCTGCTGTTTCCTTCTCGGGTAAATCATGTAAAATACTAATAATCAAATAAAGTAAAATGTTTCTCTTATTGGCATGTTTGTGGGTTCTATTCATTCACATGCATATAACATATAATCGCTTATTTGTTATCTATTTCTTTAATTTTATGACTAATTTCAATAATTTTAGATTCATCATGTCCGCAACGATTTAGTGCTACAGCTAATCAATTATTAGAGAATCTCAAACGTCGCGGTGGAAATATAACATCGATGAATCCTTGTATTAAAAATTATCATTAACAGCAATCTACCTAAATACAATTGTTTTTTTTTCTCATCGCAACGAATTTTATTTAAATGTGAACGTATAGTTGTTTCAATCAGTGATATTTACAATCTAAATGTCTGTGTATTATTTGATATTGTCATCTTTGTTTTGTTTATATGTTTATTCTTATCTTTGTTGGAATTTTTTGCACTCGCATCTTGTCCAGTCACCTTACACATTCCGTGCGTTTCAATCGGTTGCTTATTACAATATAAAAAAAAACGAGATATACATTTAGATAATCAAAAAAA